CCTCACCCGAGGATATTTTTCTTTTATCTTCAGATAGGGTGGGAGGGAGGGAAAGAGAAGTAGAGAGAGAAACATCGATGAGAGAGGGACACATCGACTGGTTGCCTCCCACATGACCCCAACCAGTGCCGGGGATGAACCACACCGAGGAACATGCCCTTGACAGGAATTGAACCAGCAACTCATCGGTCCATGGGCTAATGCTCTAACTGCTGAGCCAAACTGGCCAGGGTGAGGATCTATTTTGATAGGTGATTTTTCAAGACCCTGAGTCTGGGGAAAAAAAAGAATCTGGCAGATCACACTCAGACATTCAAAGCTCCAACCCTGAAGGACACCAGTCACTTCCCCACATTCCACCACCCACAGCAGGTCGCACGACTACGCTGAGTTGTAAGCCAGATGGGACGTGCAAACCTGCCCATGTGCCGGGGGGACAGGAGGCAGGACACAGAGGGTCAGCCCAAAGACAAAGACAGTGGCCGGCCAGTGGCTGGGTGGTAGCTGCGGCCGGAGTCACGGCTCATCAAGACATCGAGGCCGGGTCTGAAGTGGGAAAAGTGGGATGTGGGGATGGCATTGTAGGCAGGGGGATGAGCATGTACAAATTCAGTCTTTCTTTTAAATCCTTACCCAAGGATACATTTTTTCCATTGATTTTCAGAGAGAGAGAGAGAGAGAGAGAGAGAGAGAGAGAGAGAGAGAAAGAGAGAGACACACACACACACACACACACACACACAGAGACCGAGAGAAATCAGTGTGAGAGAGACACATGGATTGGTTGCCTCCTGCACTCACCCAGACCAGGTCTGCTGATCAAACCTGCAACCCAGGTACATGTCCTTGCCTGGGATTTGAGCCTTCAACCCTTCAGTGTGTGGGCTGATGCACTACCCACTGGACACACCAGCCAGGGCACAGATGCAGTCTCGAAGAGGCCTGTCTGGCTCAGGACGCTGCAGATCTGCAGGAGAGTGTCCCCAGGGGATGGGCTGGAGATGCGGGCTGGGCTGCACAGGGAGGATCTGCAGACTGTAGCATGTGAACGCTGGGAGCCTGAAACACTGGAAGCAGGAAAGTTCAGCTTTCAGTCCACGTGAGGGAGGGGTGAGCCCGAGGGCAGGCGGGAGGAGGGGAGCAGGAGAACGAAGGGTTTGAGAACGGAGAGCCAGGCCACAGGATGGGAAGACAGACAGGCTGTGAAGGGCTGAGGGTGAGGGTGGAGGATGACTCCAGTTCCTCCTGTGTGGGGAGGGGCGGTGCCGGGTGCGCGGTGGGGTGGCGAGTGGCTAAAATCACTAACACGACAACACCTGGGCTGAGCAGGCTGTGACTCCTTCTGTCCCCTCTTTGGTAAACACCTGGACAGCAGTCGCTAGGCTCTGCATGCCGACGCACCAGCGGCAACTGCCCGTTGACCAGTATCTGCACCCCGCGGACGTCAGTCCACGCGTCTGCCGGGACACAGCTGTATTCACAGTCCCCTGCCGCCCGAAGGCCAGCTACACGCCCACCCACAGGACACATTCGCAGCACATTTCTGCAACGGAATATTAGACAGCAACAAAAAGGAGCGAACTACCGCCACAGATGTAAGATAATGAGTGACAAATGTGGAACCTAAAAAACCAGACATGAACCCACTCAGTCTCCTGAGCTCTTTCCAGAGAGCCCCAGGTGGCAACGTCCGTGTTAGAAGTCAGAGGGTCACACCAGGGTGGGCAGAGGCTGGCGGTGGCCTGTCCCCCGCCCTGGGTGGCAGTGATAGGGTGCGCACTGCGTGATGAGCCGAACATCTAACTTCTGTGCACACGTACTCGGTGCCAATTAAAACGCAGTTGGGGCAAACGGAAGCCGGCGAGGCACCGCCCTCCGGGGGCCATGAAAAGAAGTACCGGTTATGAAGCAGCTGAGCCCTGAGGAAGGAGGCTCGTGGCAGCGGAGGCGGCTGGCACACAGGGCGGCCAGAGGTCACTTAAGGGAGGCGGCCAGTGGTTCTTCAAGGTCAGGAATAGGAAAGTCAACACCGACGCAGAGTGTCTTTTGGGGAAGGAGGGGCGGATGGTGGCAGGAAGCCAGGCTGGTGGGGCTCCAGCAGCGGGTGTGGGGTGGGGAAGAGGAGGGGACCAGTGTGGACATGTCCTCCTGGCACTCTGGTCGCCAAGGGGAGGTGAGCACTGTGCCAGCCGCTGGACAGGGATGTGGTCGGGACTGTGTTTTAATGTGGAAAAGACCCACCAGGCCTTGCCTGGGGAGAGCGGAGGGACGCTGACAAGTTTCATCTTACTGCAGGGGTCCTCTCCACTCACCTCCGTCCACAGACCTCCCCTCACCACCCACCTCCACCCCAGCATTCCACTTCCTCTCCTCACTCATGACCTACAGGCTAGACTTCACCTCATCTTGTTGATCTTGCCCCACTAGGAGGTCAGCCCCACAGGAGTGGGGACTTCTGTCTGTTCTGTTCTGCTCTCTACTCTGTGCTGGGAACACGTCTGCACATAGCAGATGCTCAACAAACATTAGTCCGAATGAGTGAAGGAACGGGCAGGAGTCCGAAGGAACAGAGAGGCTAAGGATGGAAGACAGGAGGGCGGGATCAGGAGCTCAGCCTTGTTCTGGGGCGGGGGGGGGGGGGGGTCGAATGCAGATACAGAAGAGGACGCAGTGGATGGCCCGAGATTGGGAGGGGCAGGAGGTGGAGGGAGGGGTCTCGGTTCTGTTGAGGGGACACTTTAGGAGAATGAAGCGACAGTCTGGGAGAGCCCCAGGGAGTTGGAGGAGACTGCATAGTGGGGTGAGAGGAGCGGAGGGGGCTGATGCCCAGCCTTGGGGCCCATCAGGCTTGGAGATCACCAGCTTCGGGGTCTCCAGCCTGGCTCCGAAGCCGACAAAGGGGTGGACTGCTGTGTTGGGCCAGGGCAGGCCCCTTCCAGGTCCAGGGCATCCTGGAAGAGGGGGTGGTGTTCCTGCAGAACTGACAGATGGAGAACATGAGGTGAGGGGGGTCTCCCCGAAGTCAGAGAGGAGGGGTGAAGGACCTGAATTAGGGTGAGGCCCAGCTTGACGACAACGAGGAGTTCAGAAGCGCTAACCTGGCCAGGCTCCTGCTAAGCCCCAAGTGCCTGCCACCCACGCCAGCCCGGGAGGCCGCTCCTGGGCTTACAAGCACTTCACTGGTGAGGTTGTGCTGCCCGGGCCCCTGGCTGCCAGGACTCGAACCCAGCTTGTCTGTCTTCCAGTGTCTGAGGCTGAAGTCCTTTCACTTTCCTGAGCTAAGGAAGTGAGGAGGGTGCAGGCAGAGGGGGCGTTGGCTCCGGATGGGAGGTTCGGGCATCGAGCAGACAGGTGAGGTGAGAGAAGACAGGATGTCAGCCTCCTTCATGCCCTGTGGGGCCTGGTGCTCACCTGCTCCTGGCGCTGAATCTGCACCCTTGTGCTGAGGTGGACCCACGAGAGAGCAGAGGGTGAAACGGGTCTGCTCACTGGGTACGCAGGCTGCCATCCCCCAGGCCCTGCCCTTTCCACTCAACCCTGAGTGCCGTGGGGTGGGGGTGGGGGTGGGGGGCGCTTTCACCTCCTCATAGGTCCAGCCGACGCTGTGAATATTCCCTCCCGCTCCCCAGCAAGAAATGTCCGGCAGCAGCACCCACCTTCCCCATCTCCACAACCCCACCCTCCCTGCCCTGCCCCTCTGGACTCTCCTGCCTCCAATGCAGTTCGGAGAGCTACCTGGAGTCCTTGGAAAACAGGCTGAGAGGAGCAGAGAGCAGAACAGAAGTGTGTGACTGGGGGAGACGGACTCCACCTCCCTCCTGGGGTGTTGCCCACCAACATCTTGACCCCCTAGGTTACCCCTTCCAAGGCAATGGGCATCTTTCCTCCCCTCCCCTTCCAAAGGGTTTGCTAAGCACCTAGGATTATACGATGTGGGTTGATCCACCCCCCCCCCCAATACCTCTGAAGCCCCCCCGGGGCCTGTGCTCCATGCAGGGGCCTCTATTCATCAAGGGGTCAGCCTGGAGGAGGCAGCAAAGCAACGGAAGAGGAGACACATTTTTGAGGGCCTGTTCTGTGCCACGCACTGTGTGCCACGCAATTCAGGTCACACCGGTGATGAGGGAAGGCAGGCGGGGAGGTCCTGCCTGGCAGAAGCCCTGAGTTTGGTGGGAAGAAGATGAGGAGGAGAATGAGGAGGGACCGCCATTGTTACAGCCTGTTTTTGGAGTGTACTCAGGGCTGTTTCAACATTGACTCACCAGTAAGTAGAAGGGTGAGCACGAGGAGAGATCATGGAGCTCTTCCTGGAGGAGGCCGCCTCCTCCCAGCCATCCCATCCAGAGCTTTCTTTGCCGTGTAGAGCGCTTCCCCTCCTCGACACCCCGCACCCCATCCATCTTCCCACAGGCCCGGTTTTGCGCTCTGGAGGGCCCTCAGGACGTGTCCTGCCCACCTTCTACCACTGAGGGACCTGTACTCCCGCTCCCCCTCCCGGTCCTGTCGCTCCCCGTGCGCGGCTGCCCACCTGCCCTCCCCTGTGCTAATCCCCCTCCAATCGGTCATCGCTTCCATAACTGCAGCACCTGGGCACTCAAGGTGCCCCCTGAAAGCGCAGCGGTCCAGCGCCCCCTCCTCAGCTGGCCATCTCGCACACTCCCCCGCTGGCGCACGCGGGCACCTTTGGGCCGCGGCGCCGAGGTGCCTCTGCCGGGGCGCGGCTCCACCTGCAGGGTGCTGGGCGGCCGGCGCGCGGCTGGCGGCGGGGCCGCGGGGGCGGAGGAGCGGGCGGCGCGAGGGAGGGGCCTGCGACAGCGGCGGCGGCGGCGGCCCAGCCCGCGCAGCCCGGCTCGGCCCCGGCTCGGTCGGCGCAGTGCCGCGCGCGTCCCCTCCCGCCGCCGCTGCAGCCAGGCACCCGGCACCAGGCCGCCGCCGCCGGGCGCACGGACGCAACGCGCACTGGCCGGGATGCGCGCACGGGCCCCGGCCCGCCCCCACCCGCGGCCGCCGCCCGCCCGCCGCGCGTTCGCCTGACCGCGGCACCCGCCCGGCCGCCCCCGCCCGTCCCCGGCCGCCCCCGGCCGCGATGCCCGCCCCCCGGGGCCCCGGCGGCCCGCGCCCCTGCTAGGCTGCGGCGGCATGGCTCGCGCGCCCGGCCCGACCTCTGCGGATTGCATCGGTGTGCGGCGGCAGGGCATGCCCAGGGCACCGGGCACGGCCTTCAATGGGCGAGGACACGGACACGCGGAAAATTAACCACAGCTTCCTGCGGGACCACAGCTATGTGACTGAAGGTAACGTACGTGTTGTCTGAAGCCCCCTCCGGCCGGCCGCGGCGTGGGGATGCCGTCGCACCCAATGCCCTCCGAAGGTTTGGACCGCGCGCTGTGTGTCGTGTCCCCCGCCCCACCCCGCCCCGCCCCGGGTCCGGGAGGGAAGGAGCCCCAGGGCACCGGCCGCGGCCCGGCCGCCCTCCTCCGCGCCGCCCTCCGGCCGGCAGCGTCCCGCCCCCAGGCCTGGCGGCGTCCTGAATGGGCCCTGGCCATCGTTTGAAACAGGCCATCCCTGCGGCCAGTCTGGTGAAGAAATCCCGGGGAAATTTAATGGCTGAGAACCCTGGGTTTGCTATTTCAGACCTGCCCGAAGCCCGCAGAATGTTCTAGGCTGCCCACTCCCCGGAGATGAAGAGGGACCCAGAAAATAAATCCATTGCCAGAGTCCCCGGAGAGGCTCGCTGTCCTCCGCCCCTCCCTGTGCCTCCCGCGGCAGGGCCCCAGTGGGTGGGGGGAGGCGGCTGGTTTGGGGTTGGTCTTTATTCCTGGCGAGTTATACTGAGATAGAAGCAGCTGGCCCGAACTGTCAGGATTTGCCAAAAAATAAAAAAGTGGGACATGCCCCCCTCACAAGGGCCCTGCATCTGACATTTCCTAAATGGGCCGGATAATCCCCAGCCCAGCCCAGCCCAGAGGCTGGCGGCATTCGGAGGGTCAGCGCCCGTCTTGTAGGCCAGTAACTTAAGGGGTCCCTCTGCGCCCCCTCCACCTTGCCCAGGGAGCTGTGGGGACAGCTCCGGAGCCGCAGCCAGGGCCCTGCGGCGTGCAGCCCGGTCAGGACAGGGAGAGCCAGCGCGAGGTGTCCGCTTGCTGCGGTGGGGACACGTGCTGGAGACCTTGCCGGGTTTAGGGACCATCTGCATCTTCTCTAGGGGCTGCTGGACTAGCTGCGAAGTGTTTGTGGGATTTTAGCAAGAGGTCCCCGATGGGTGCCCCAGTGGGAGGGGCCCTGGGCCTGGCGTGCGGGGGGGGGGGTGCGCGTGGGCGCCGGTGTCGGGGAACCTGTGTGGGCTCGGCGGCAGCGAGGGTGACTTTACTCCCGGGTGGTGTCCGCAGCGTTGCTGCTTGGCTCCGCCGGAAATGAAGCCGAGCCGGTAGCCGGAGCCCCGCGGAGGCCGGGCGAGCGCTGGGCCCGCGCAGGGCGGGGCTCCCGGGGCGTCCGGACCCAGAGAGCCAGGCCAGTTGTGTAACCTGGGCCGGGGGATGCTGTGGGTGGCGCTCCCCGCGCCCTGGAAGAGGACCGTTGAGTCATGCTTTGCTGATGTGTGTGGGGAGAGGGGGCTGGGCTGCCCAGGGCTGGGTGCTGGCTCTGCCTGGAGCTATGGCTTTCTGGAGCTCAGGGGCTGACAGCGGCCCACTGTCGCTTCCCTTGGAGAGGTTGAGGAAGGATGGGCATATGTGTGTCCGGGTGTTCGTCTGCCCAGGCTGCCCAGAGCCAGAGGGCGAAAGGCCTCCGGGTTGCTGGCAGGTGCCCCAGTGGTCAGGTTCTGGCCAAGAGAGAGGGGATCTTGGCAGGTCACTGTGGCCTGGCTTTCTGGAGGAAGCCTCTGTTTTCCCATCTCACGAGGAGGAGGAGGAGGATGGGACGGGCACAGGGCTTAGTGTTGAAAGCAATAAGTGCTCTGCCCAAACCACAGGGCGCACTGCGGGCGCTGGTTCCTTCTTCATCCACCTGCTCCCCTTTCTTCCCCGGTCACCAGCTCCGAGCGGGGGAGAGCAAGGGGCAAGTGCAGAGCAGAGGAGACGGGGGATCTGTGATTCCTCGTTGTTCATTCAGCAAACAGTTACTGAGCACCTACTGTGTGCCAGTCCCTTTATTAGCCCTGCGGACTGGACAGAGATCCTGTCCTCGGGCAGCCCATGTTCTAGAAGGGACCCTCCCCACCTCTCAGTTTCCCCATCTGTAAAATGGGAGTGACTAGTATCATCCTGCCTACAGGTCTGGGTTTCTGTGAGGGTCGGGGGAGATGGATGAAGGAGCCACCAGGGAATTGCAAATTGTTAACTGGCAGCTGAAGTATGTTGTGCTCCCATGGTGCTCTGGGGCCTCACACCACACCCACACCCTTCTCATCCCCATTTTATAGATGAAGAAACTGAGGCTTGGCTTTTGTCCGAACACCAGACTGAGTGCCAGTTGTATGTAGGGCATAGGGCTCGGGTGCTAGGGATGCGGAGAGACGTGATCAGAAGCTCCGGCCCATGGAGGGCAGAGTCTAGTAGAGGAAGCAATAGCAATAATTAGTAGAATTAGAATTTTATGAGCTTTCTGGCCTTTCTGCATGAAAGTGGAGGTTCCCACTGTTGGATCTTGCTTGCATTGTGTGCTCAGCACAGTTGGATATTAGAGGGATTTGTGTTCAAATTCTGATTCTGATGCTTGCCATGCTGTGCAACTTTGGATATGTAACTAAACCTCTCTGAGCTCTACTTTCTTCCTATGTAAAGGGAGAAATACTAATATTTACAGGTTGTTGGGACAATCACGATTATGCTAATAGAGAAAACATGCAACTCAGCGTTTGGTCTGTTAGAAGCATTGAATACACGGCGAGGTTAACATGTAAAAGTTTTGTTCCCGTAAGAACTTCATGAGCAAATAGCTTGCAAAAGACCCAGGTGTACAAATGCTTGTTCCACAGGCGCCCAGCCCCCGGGGTCCCTGACCCCTCTCCTGTCCCTCAGCAGGCCGTTTCTTTCCTTCCAGGCACTGGCCTCTCCCGGAACCCCTACCTCATGCTCTTCTCATGGCTGACTTCTCATCCTGTAGGTCCAAGTCAAATGCCGTCTTCACTAGTGGGAATCCTGCTTGAGTTCCTGAATCGCAGATACCTTGGGAAGAGCGTAGGCTTTGTTAGTCATTCACACCTGGGTGTGAATTAGTCAGAGCAGCATTTACCCAGGACAGCCTGGGCCTGGCCCTGGGCGGGCAGTGATGGACCAAGTACAGGGGCTCATAGCCAGGGGTGGTGGCAGGTGGCTGGGTCTCCTTGGGAAGCAACAGTCACTCCCAGACACATGAGTAACATGCTTTGGGGGCATGCTTTTCTGGGGGGGGGGTTCCATAGCTTTCCTGCCCTCCAGCATCTCTGCCCTTAAACTGTCGTCGGCACATGTCTCTTCATCGGGGAAAGAAATGTTCCTGTTTCTCTAACCTCTATCTTTGCCACCCTCGTGTGCACTAGGTGGCTTCAGAGTACCCAGCTCATCTCTACAGGGCACACTGATCGTATAGTTGAGGGCATGACGGGAGCTCAGAGGGGGGGAGGGGCTTGCTCAGGGGCTGCTGAGGTCAGGAGGGGCGCAGGTCTCTCTCCATCAGCATCTGGGCAGTTTCCACTGCGTGGGGTTGTCTTTGTGTTTTGAACTTGTGCCCTGCATAATGTCCACTTTCTGCCCAGGCCTAACCCACTCTGGAGAGGGGGTACTGCCCGTGGGAGACCCAGCATTCAGCCAGATTTGCACCCTGTGGCGGGTATTGTGGCTGAGCTCCCAACAGTTAGTCCTCCTCACCCTCCTGAGAACACAGGTGGTTCCCAGCAAGGGACCAGTGGCCATGGCCTGGGCCTCAGCCCTCGCACGGACTGGTTTCAGGACGGATGTGGCAGGTGCTCTGGGGGTCGGGTGGGAAGTGGAGAGAGAGCTGCCGTGTCCTGTGATGGAACACGGACGTCCCCGTTGTGGCCACCAGGCACCTTGAGACCATGAGGACAGTGAGTCTCGAGCCAGCGCGCTGTGGATGGCGGGGCAGATGCCGGTGACATCGGGGACTCCCTGAACGAACCAGGCCTGGTGCCCACCTGCCCCTGGAGGCACCAGTTCCAAGAGCTGGTACATGTTGGGCCTTAAGCCAAGTACGTGGCTGTTACCTGCAGCCAGCAGCCCCGGCCTGCACAGACTTCACCGGTCACTCAACACCGGCAGCTGCCTGGCACTCGCCCCTGGCATCCCAGACGCGGGACACCCGGAGGGGTTCGGTTTGTTTGCTTTCAGCCCTGGTTTCCCCGCCTGGGGTGACTGAGCTGGGGTTTTCAACCCGATGAGATACCCAAGATCTGGAGCCAGGAGCCTGGCGTCTGGTGGGGTCTGGGTCTAGTCCCTAATCCTGGGCGGGCCCCTCAGTCTCTCTGAGCTTTCGTGTCTTCTATGGATTGTTGCTCAGGTCCCTGGGAACCAGGGATGTGCAAGTGTTTGCTGTTGTAACCTCTTCACGAACCCCTACCTGCTTCGTGAAAGCAGTACTGTCAGTAACCCTACAGCACTGGACGGCTTGGCGTATGTGCCCGTGAGCCAGGGCCTGGGGCACAGTGAGCTTGTAATAAATATCACCCTCTAGCAAGGCTGTCTGGTCTTTAGGGGTCAGAGTCGACCAGCCCTTAGAACTACCGTCATGCTGGCCACCAATGCCATCCCCACTCCACCGGGAAACCAGCTAAGGGGGAGAGGGCTTGCGTCGGGGACCTGAGCCAGCCCAGAGGGGGAGCAGGCTGGAGCGGGAGAGCCAGCGTCTGGTTTTTGAAAGTCAGGATGTGGATGCTCAGCTCTTTGTTCCTGTTGTCTCCGTTTAGGAATGTCACTTGCAGAAGGTTTCCTAGGATTTTACAGACTCCAGTGTCTCCACGTCAGGGGCGGGGGAGGGGACACTTCTGGGGGCTCTCCACTAAAGCACCTCGCCTCTCTGAGCCTCAGTTTCCCTGCACTGCTTCCTGCCCTGGGTTGGCACAAGGTTCTAAGGAGCCAAGGCCACGCGGACTCCAGAGGTCTACCCCCGTGAAGGGATACTGTTTTTCTCCGTTTCCCCAAACTGCCGTGGGGGTCAGCTCCCCCTTCCCACGCGGTAAACCACACACTCATTTACTTTTAATTAATCCGAACTCAGAGGCTGCTGCAGTCATGGAGTAGGGTTTTTCTCATTTTCTTTTCGCAAGATGGAAATCAAATTCCGGTAAATGTTTCCACAT